ATCTTGTATTTTTGAATTTTCATCAGGCAGAGATCTTTTCAATGTTTTTTTTCTTATATTTATAGGAGTTTTTATTTCCCTTAATTCTTTTCGTTGATTACTAAATGTATTTAAATTACTTGTATTTTCGCTTAAATTTTCATTTTCTAATTCAACTTTATTACTAACATCTTCATCATAGTTCATACTATCATTACTATCTAGACAAAACAAAGGCGATTCTGTTGTTAATTCTGTGGTTGTTGCTTTATTTTCAACATTAGTTGTTGTGTCTCTATGGTCAATGTAAATATTTAACCACTGCAAAAAATTGTACTCTGATACAATTTGTATCTGATAATACTTACTGATAATTGTTACTGATAATTTGTCCTGAGCCCGAAGGTATACTCTTTTTTTTCCTTAAAAAGCGTCCATAAGGCGATCTTATATTTTTGTATTTTGATTCACATTCCTGGTCAGTTAAACCAAACAAAACGCCAATGACTGCCCAAAATACTTCTGCACTTCCTGCATAAAGCTTTCTTTGCTAAATTCTCCGATAAGTCTTTCTTGTTCAGGTTCCATTTTATGTTGATCTGTGAAAACCATTTTTTTTAATATTCCGTTTTTTCAAAATAACCAACCAATCATATATAAAGTTCGCGCGACAATTGTCGTAGAGATAATATCGCGACACCTATGGCACGACCGAAAGACAGTTTTGCAAGACAAAATTTGTCGCACGACTTATGTTTCCATATGGTCGCGCGACTGTCCTGCGACAGTCGCACAAATGGTCGTGCGACTGTCGCACGACCATTTTAGATATATGGAAACCAACCTTTACGGTTGCTTGATAGACAATATTGTTAGATAAACATTGATTGTACATAGGGCAAAATGCTTTATCTACGCAGTTACATTGGTTGGTTTTTAATTGATTTTTGTTCTGTAAAATTTTGAAATTATGCGAATTTATGATAGATTTTAGGTTAGGCAAATCTATCATAAAAAGTATCATAAATTGTATATGTATATATATATATATATATATATATATATATATATATATATATATATATATATATATATATATATATATATATATATATATATATATATGATTTTGTTTGATTTTCTGATTTTTCAAATTAAAATCGATGCAATTTTTTTCAAACTTCTCCATATTTAAAAAACAAATTTATTTGAAAACATGTTTTGATTTTTATGAAACTTTAATTTCTTCACTTTTAATTCGGTTTTTATTTAGATCAGATAAACATGCTTTTTATAACTAAAACTTTGTGCCTAATTTGCTTTTGTATATAGCTTTCATATTTCTTTCTTTCTTATTAGCCTATATATTGTTCTGTTTGCACTCATTAGCTATTGTTAGTGGTGATTTCACTAATTTTCTTAGTTTAAAGTGTTATGCTTCTCTTTAAAAAGGCATTAAAATATGTTGAATGTAAATTGTAAAAATCTGTTCAATTTTTTTTTTTTTTTTTTTAATTGTTTACTTTACTATAACTTCCTAATAATATGGTATCACGTAATTTTTTTAATCTCTGAATATTAATAGTTCAGATGTGCCGTTAGTTACGCATTGTTACGCCTATTGTTCGTTTTGTTAATTACGGTTCTGCATTATGAAAAATACACTATTTCTTAGTTTTGAAATTGTTTCTAGACTTTTCTAAGCGCAGTTATATATTAAATGCGGTCTTTCGAGTAAAATCACCAAGCAAATTGGAGCTGATGCACTTATTTTAAAAAAAAACTATTGTTTATTTTTTAAAATAAAAAATTAATTGTTAGTTTGTTGTTGATTATTTTTATTTTTTCTAATTTTTATAGTTTGTTTTTATTTTTTAGAAGAAGTTGGAACTAAAATGTTTGGTAAAAAAGTTTTTTTAGTAAAATGTTTCTTTTTTAGTAAATTGTTTCATTTTGTCGTTAGTCTTTTTAGAACATTTTAAGCAAGTATTGTTTTATTTTTTAGAGCAGTTAAAAAAACCTGTTGGTTTTTTTAGTAAGTTCAATTCGTTTTCTTATTTATAGATAAAGATTGATTTTTGAAAAAAATAACTATATATAAAGTAAAGTTTTATATATGTATTTAATATGAAAAGTTAAATTAAATAAGACTGTTTGTTTTCATGTAAACTTCTATACATAAATTTGCTTTTATTTTAGTCTATTTTATATTTCTTTATATCTATACTATATGTATATTTTCTCTTAGCAAAAGTTATTAAGAATAGAAAAATAAAAAAAATCTTATGGAATTTGTCAAAACTAGGTTGTGTTATGCTCCATTCTAAGGTATCTAATTATGTATTTATTTTTCATTTTTTAGAAGAAGTTAGCTAAATTGACTGGTAAAATAGTTTTATTAGTACAATGTTTCTTTTTTAAGAAAACTGTTTCAGTTTTGTCATTAGTCTTTTTAAAACATTTTAAGCAAGTATTTGCTTTATTTTTTAGGGCAGTTAAGACAAAATGATCGCTTTTTTAGTAAGTTTACTTCAATTTCTCATACATAGGCTAAAACTTTTTTATATAGAAAGAATAATGAGAATAAAATTTAATTCATGTATTTAATATGAAAAGTTAATAAAATAAGACTGTTATTTGTGATCATGTAAGTTTATATACATAAGTTTGCATTTATTTCAGTCTATTTTATATTTCTCTATATCTATATGTATATTTTCTCTAAGGAAAAATAATAAGGAATAGAAAAATTTAGAAAATTTGCTCTATAATTTGTCAAAAAAGTGTTGTGTTATGCTTCATTTTAAGGTATTTAAATATATATTCATTAGAAATTTTTAATTTTGTTTTTAAATCGTTTATTCTTTTTCACTACTTTATATAAATATATACTGACTGACATAACTTTACTTTTATTAACAATATCGTGCATTGTAGTCTGCATTCTTTGTTACATTTAAAATAATTGATGCTAATAAATGTTGTTTTATAGTTGTTAAAAGTTTGCATATATGTTTGCATGTATATTATGATCAAAGTTAAAAGTTTTTTGATAAATACGTGTATATGGTAATACTACTCAGGTATCACCACAGCTTATCTCTATCAGGTACATTGATTTTCAATTCACATATGATGTTTTTCTTTGTATTTACTTATTCGTTACATTTCTAACTTCAGATTTATGGTGTATTGATTTGCTATAGAAGAACAAATTATTTTGAATTTTTTAAAAATATCTACACCAATCAACATTTAAAGTTCAATGTTGCATATACCATTTTTAAGTAGCTTCTAGGCTTTTTTAATGCTTTTCTTATTCAAGTGGTTTCATAAGCAAGGTCTACAAGGAAATTTGAGATAAAAAGTTTTTCAGCTTTCAAGGACTAACAATGTTGTTCTCTGTATAATTTAATTTGTTTAAATAGAGTTGTTTTAGTAAATAAATGTTTGTTTGTTCTTGGTTTTTTACTTATTTGTTTTCATATTCTTAAGAACTAGGCAACTTAACAAAGAAAGATTTATTTTAGTGCAATTGGAAAGAGCTAAAGTGCTTTTTAGTCACTTCAAATCATTTGTTTCTTTTTTTAAATAGAAGGGTTAATAATAAATATATTTAAACAGTCGAACTGTTACTGATTTAAGTAAGTTTAATGTTTTGTTTAATTTTATATTAGATATATATTTTATGTATTTAACATGAAAATCTGACTGTAATTTTTGACAGGTTAGTTTATATACATAAATGTGCCTATATATCAGAATATTTTATATTTCTCTGAATCTATATGAATATTATCTCAAAAAAAAAACTAAGAATAGAAAAAATTTGAATATATATATACATACATATATATTACTTTAGACTGACATTACTTCATTTTTTTTACAAGATTCTGCATTTATTATTTTTGTGCATTAAGATTGTGCCTGGAGGCTTTCTTCATTTAGCAAAGAATTCAGAACACAGTGCAAATAACTTTGCACTGAGTTCTAAATTCAAATAAAGTCAATAAATTTTGTTTTATATTTTTCAGTTGTAAAAATATAAAAGGTAATTTATTCAGTTGTAACAGTAGTATAATCACTGGTAGTATATATTTAATGATGACAGATGTATAATATTAGGCTCGAAGAAGTTATAAGTGTAAATGTTTATAGGTGACTTCAAATTGTTGTCATATGAAAGAAATAGATCTAGGCGTGATAAAATTAATTGTCGTTGAAATATAAGAAATTTTGCTTGATGAACCAAAATCTTACTTGGCAGAACTCTGTGTCAAGCGGTGTTGATGTCTATTTATTGACTTTACATAAGACACTTTAAAATAAAGCAAAGCATGAATTTCACCATTTATAGTAACAAATAATAACAGTTTAAGTTTTAAATGATTTTTTATTTTTTTAATTTTTTTTTTCTTTGTAATCTTAAACAAAATTGTATTCATTTTTTTTTTTTAGTTGTCTTTGCCATCACTTGATTATTTTGCTTAATATTGAAACATGGTTTTAATTTTGTTAATTTAATATGATGTGAAATTTACAATATTATTCAATTTTCAACATTTAGAGAGAAGCTAGAACTTAATTAAGAAATGCTGGAAAATAACTTTTAGTAAAAGTAAAAATAGTTTTGTTTATTGGAAGCATAATAAAACCAGTTACTGTTAGTTATTGCATGACTTTTTTACTTTTTCTAACATGGTGTTTTTAAAACACTTCTCTCTCTCTTAGATGAGACTTGTATAAGAATTAGTATTGAGAATTGTAGAGAGAGAATCAAATAAACTCTGTATTTACTGAGCTCTGAATAAACTCTGTAATTACTAAGCTCTTGCGTATTTTTTAAAAGTGCGATTGATAATTTGCTATTGAAAGATATAACTCCTTAAATTGTCATTTGGTTGTTCAAATATTGTAATAAATAAAATCTTTTTAGTTTCAAGTATTTTCTCTTAGGGATCGTCTATATATTAGGTAACGCTAAATTAAATATAGACAAAAGAAATATCTCAAAAATTGTGTTTCTCTCATGGTCAACTATATGCTGCATTTTTAAGAACTACAGCATTTAATAGTTTGATTTTCAAAATTGATAAACATCATATTCAAGGTATAGTAGGTAAAAAACTGTAACATAAATGTTGTTATATTTTTTATGTTCTTAATTTATAGTTTTTAAATTTTCAATTCGAACATTTACTGTTAAAGGTTTTGAGCACATTTTGTATGTATAACTTTATTTATCATTATTTATTTTTTTTTTTATAGTTTTTGGTAAATATATCTATCATTCAATAGTTGTAAAATGTGATTACACATGTTACATAAAGTCATACTTGTATATAGTTATATATATGTTTAAATTATAAAAGCCAAAACAACAATTTATATCTTAGTTAGATTTTTTTTTAAGTATTGTTAATGCTTTGGTACTTCGAAACAGGTTTTATAGTTACATTTTCGATATATCTTTAACTGCAATTTCAAAATAGGTTACTATAAATAGGTAAATCGATTTTTGGTAATTTTGTGGTGGTTTTTGTTATTTATTCTTTGTAATTATAATATCATAACTTCAATACTTTTTTGTTTTTAAATACGTTATGACGCATTTATAAGATTTATAAAATAAAAAAACCTGATTTCTTTTTATTGTAAATTTTTGTTAGTTAAAAAGATATAAATATATGCTATTAGTTAAATTTTATATTTTATGTATTTTATGCCTAATAATTTGTTATACATATTTTAAGGGGATCCTGGTAAATGGGGGGTCGTAACTAAAAACCTTGAAAAATATAGAGAATATTGTAGTTTTGCGCATTATTATCGAGTTACTTAAGTTTTATTTATGTGTTTAACTAATTAGTTAGCTTAGTCTGTATTTGCAACACTTTTGAGGAAAGAAAGAAAACATTCTTACATAAATGGGATCATTGTTTTACATTTTATTATTTTATTTTATTCACATGGCCACCATTAAAGCAAAAAGAGGAAAGGAACCTCTTTATTAGAGTCAAAATATTTTGAAAAATTAAATTTCGCGCTACAAAAGGAGTTTTTAGTAAATGGTGGCATTTTACCGTTTACAAAAAATTTAATGAAATAAAGAGGCCAAACAAATAATATAGAAATGGTCTGTGTTGAACAGACTTAACAAGACCCGGGTCGGGTTAGCTTGGTTTACAAATTTTAATGTCTACTTATCTCTTATAATTTTTATTTTTGTTTGTCATATTATACATTAATGTATTAAAAGATTTGTTATACCCATGTTTGATCGTAAATTAAATTTTTTTTGTTTGAAAGGTATTTGTACTCAGTTGCGTAGTTATATCAAACTTTGTTATTTTTTATAAATTTATTTAAATGTGTGCATTTAACATTTTTAAGTAAACAATTTTCTTTTCTAAAAAACAATTAATCAAGGGGATACCAAAAAATTGATAACTCTTGTATAATATAAGTTAACTTCATTTTAAACTTAATGGTTCGTGTTTTAAGAATAATTACAAAGATTTAGTTGACACTTTCGTCAAATTAAAGCATGACCAAGTGTTATTATTTTGTGTCAGTAACTAAAAACGTTTTGTGTTCAACTTAGGAAGGTCGATGAAAATGGTTCTGCCTTCCACTGTTATGACCTATGCCATTTGTAAATTACTTAAATAATGTTAAGTAGTAATTGTAAATGTTAAGTAGTAGTTGGTAAATTTATTTACCTCCTCATACTTTTTATGTTAATTATACAGATGGATTAAATTTTTTAAGCTGAAGGCGATTTCCTAAATAGGTATTAGTTAAGGTTTTGCAAGATTAAATTGTGGAAAACAGCCACTTTGAATTAATTATGTAACAGACCGACTAAAACCCGTATTACGGATTGCCTTTTGCTAGTGTTATATTATTAATATAAGAAATAAATATTTTTAATTATTTTAATATGGTTTTCTGTCCAATAGGCTATGCTTGGTTCTTCAGTCCTGTAGATGGCGACTGTTATAACTGATTTTAAAAAGTGCCTTCAACGTTAACTGTTTTTTAAGAAAAATGTGTTTAATATAAGTTTTTGTTTAAATATTTTTGTTACATACTTAACTATATATCATGTAAATAAATTTGTTTTAAAGATATGTAAACGTATGACTTGCTTTTTTATCACTTTTTTAAAAAGTGAACACAAGTTTATATATTTATATATATATATATATATATATATATATATATATATATATATATATATATATATATATATATATATATATATATATATATATATATATATATATATATATATATATATATTTATATATATATATATATATATATATATATATATATATATATATATATATATATATATATATATATATATATATATATATATATATATATATATATATATATATTATATATATATATATATATATATATATATATATATATATATATATATATATATATATATATATATACAGGCCTCGGCGGGAAGCGAGAGCTTTAGCTCTCACTCTCGCCCACACTTTCCTAAAACAGTTTACATGAGCAATTTACAGGTCTCGCAAAAGTATAATTTTTTTTTTTTTTTTTTTTTTTTTTTTTTTTTTAAACATGTTTATTTCACAACTACGAAGTATTTACAATTGACCAATCATCGATTGGCGAATAAAGATATACAAATATAAATATCGTAAACATAAAGTCCAAAATAAATAAGAGATAAATCTAAAATATTGTTACATTCAACTTTGAGACTTGATAAAAATAAATACAAAGTACACAATAGAATAACGTGAACGTAAAAATTATCCAAGAAATAAACCTTTTATATTCTTTCAATCAGAATAAAATATATATATATATATATATATATTTATATATATATATATATATATATATATATATATATATATATATATATATATATATATATATATATATATATATATATATATATATATATATATATATATATATATATATATATATATATATATATATATATATATATATATATATATATATATATATGTACATATATATAAAAGTATGATAAAAACAAGATTTGTATAAGAGTTAAGAAAATAATTAATTGTTTGTAGTTATAGGAAGCTCGCAGAAGACTGGGATCAGTCTTGTCATCGAGTACCTTTTAGACGTGTAATACACATAAAAATCAGTTGCATACGTGGCAAATATGTATGTGATACATATATGCCTAAAAATTATTAATGTTACTAACTCCTTTTAGTTTTATTTTTGTTAATTTCTTTGAAAAGTTACATTTTTTGTTTTATTAGGGTTGTTTTATATTATTTTAAATTTTTAAATTTTAAATTGGAGTTTAAAAAAACTCTTTGTAGTGGTTTAACTTGATTATTGTAGATTTTAACTTTCTTTTTAGGGACTGTTCGTTGTTTAAATTTATTAGCGATTCGTTTCTAGAAATTATTTTGTTAAATAAATAGGGACCACGATGTTTTATTGAAAACTTTGAGAGTTTAGTTTTTTCAAAGGGTATCTTAAAGTTTCCCGTATTGTACTTGTTTACGTTGTTTTCAAAAAAGTGTGCTGTAAAATGTTCTGGAACCAGACTTAGTTTATATTTAAACATGAAAAGTATATTTTGATAAATATTAATTTGAAAAATATTTAAAGCGTTCATTTGCTCCAGTAGGGGTTGAACATGAGTAAGTTTGTTTTTGTTGAACACTAGTCTTGAAGCGTGCTTTTGACGCAGATAAAGCGGTTTTAATTTAGTTATGTGGGTACTGCCCCATGCTATATTGGCATACATAAGTATTTTTCTTATTAAGGTATAATTAAAATTACAAAAGAGTGCTAATTTAAATGAGGAGCAGCTCGCACAGCTCCCCAAATTCGTTTTAGGAGAGCTTTTCTCACTTCTTGTGCTCATTTGTTCCCGCCGAGGCCTGTATATATATATATATATATATATATATATATATATATATATATATATATATATATATATATATATATATATATATATATATATATATATATATATATATATATATATATATATATATATATATATATATATATAAACATCTGTTTTATATGGTTATAACAACTGTTTTATAACCTTTTTAGCTCATTAGGGATCGTCCATAAAATACTCTGAGGGATAGAGGGGGTCTGCAAATGGCGATTATGGGATGGAAGGGCTGTGGGTTAATTATATAAGAAAAGAGACACTAAATTAAAAAAAATATCATAAAATGTTGGGTAGGTAGGTTAAAAGTTTAAGTTTACGTAAGTTAAGTAATTCACCTTAGTTAATTCAGCTAAGTTAAAAATTTTTATTCACGTAAAGCGTAGCAATTACTTCAAAAATGTCAATTAATTGGTTAATTGTATCTATAAATGAAGCTAAGAGTTATGTTAAAGATTTGAGAACAATAAAAGAGAGCAGAACTAAAAATATAAAATAAATTTATATTTCATTAGAGATAAAAATAAATTGATTTTAATGATACTAATAACCCGTATTAATAATAATTTATATACTAACAACCCGTATTACGGGTTGCTTACTGCTAGTAATTGTTAATAACAATAGACACTACTCAAAGTTAAGCGAAAGCCGTCTATCTAATATATTTTGCAGCTCACAAAACTTGCAGTTAAGCGATTTTAAGTCAAATATTTTTTCTGCAATAATAACACACAAATAATGCTTCATTAGTTTTTTATTCAATCATAAAACTTTTAAATAATCATGAGGCAACAAAATTATCAGTTTAAAATAGGGGTGGAAATTAATAAAAAAAAGTACCGACTCCGATTGTTAAAATTTTTAGAGTATGACTCCGACTCTGACTCCAACTCTGGTTCAAAAGCAAAATCTTGAAAAATTCTTTGAATTCTTTAAAAAATACTACGCAATAATTTGAAAAAAAAAATTATTCTTGCCAAATTTATGAGAGTTTTTTGAAGTGGTAAGGATGCAAGTAAATTATCGAAAAAAAATGTTGAAATTTTTTTTTATGAGGAATTTCACTCTTTGCTGTGTAGGCGTAGAAATATTATTTTTGATAAGTTAGGTGTATTTAGGTGTAGTTATAAATATTATATTAGTCACAATCATAACTCAAAAAAATAATTCAGTTGATAAGTTGAAGCAGTACTTTTGAAATATTTATAGTTTGTATTATTTACAAAAAAATTCCCAAAACTGTTTTTGTTGGCAGGGAAACCATAAAAATGGGTGCACATTCAGCTGTTAAGGTGATTTTCCACTCATCCGTTTTTCTACAGGAAAGGAAAAAATAATCACGTGAGCATGCGCAGTTTCCCTACGGACAAATAAAAATTTTTACTACGCATGCTCACGTGATTATTTTTCCGTACCCTTTCCTTTTCCCGTAGAAAAAACGGATGAATGGAAACTCACCTTTATTCATTTTAATGATGGGTGGAAAGAAATACTGAAGGTTTTAGAACACTTTGACTTAAAAGGGAAAATTTCAAAGGATCTGG